TGCTTTAGAGTGGCTGGTCACTCTCGTTGGTGTCGCTCGTCAGTGTCGTTAGTACTGCGCCGGATATGGCGCACACACACACACAAAAAAAAAAGCTTAACCTGCAGCCTCTGCAACATAGCGAGGTTGAAGCGAACGACGGTAACTGCCGGCACGTTTTGTACTGAGCGTTCAAATGTTCACCTAGAAACGGTGAAGCGCTAGGGAAGGACGGGCGAGTTTTTTTTTTTTTTTTTCTATGGTCAAGCTCCAGTGCCACTGCAAATGTGCCGTTTTGTTTTTTTAAAGAATAACGAGATGAAGAAGAAAAAACGCAAGCTCCTGCTTGAAGCGCATAACTCCGTCAACAAAGTGAATGAATGAATATATATATATATTCGGCTGGTTATTTTTTCATCCACTTTTCTTTCTTCTTTCTTCTTATTTACATTCCATTGGTTCTAATAACTTCCCCTGTACATTCCTTGACATTACTGTCTGTTAGATCTCATTATTATTGTGTTAAAACACGGAAAAACGAGCCCTTAGGTATACACTTCTTTCCCTTATATATATATATATATATATATATATATATATATATATATATATATATATATATATATATATATATATATATATATATATATATATATATATATATATATATACAGACGCGCAGTGCCCACATTTTTTTTCCTTGATGCCGCGTTCCAATGGAACACAATAAAGTTTATTCATTAATCCACTTTTAAAGTGCCGTTGTTCCAGCCACGCTGAGGCCTATCACGACATCTAGCCTGGCATGCCCTAAACTGATCTAATTGGATAGGTCATGGGGGGGGGGGGGGGAGCCTAATGAGAAACTACAGAATCATGACGTCTAGGCCGGTAATCGAACCTTCGACCTCGTATTCGGCACTGCAGAACCCCGCTAGGAGCCACCGCAGTGGTTTGATTATAAACTTCATGTAGTGCTGAAGTCATCTGATGCACAAGCTCGTAAGATTTGCAAAGAGTGTCAGCCGATTCTGTACAACTAGCTGTGATTCGCGACTATCTCGGTCTTCGTCCGGTTTGCTCTGAACTTTGACAGCAGCGCCACGAGCCAAAAACAGGAGACCTACCGGCCCAGGCGGGTCAGTGTGTGCCACTTCCGCATCACGCTAGAAGAGCACGACATGCGAGGGGCCACCGGAGGATGGCTGTCGGATCATCGCCGTCTGGCTCGCACGCGTTCAAAAATGTCGCATATTTCACAGGTGTCACATACATAGACAGTTAGAATGTTTTACACACGCACAGCGACGGTATTCATACCGTGATCAGGGTATATGCGGTGTAACGATTTTTTTATTATTATTATTTCTTTTCACATGCCCAGCCTGAAGTTATGATCAGTCTAGGGTGTGAAACGGCGTGACGTACCGTACGTTGGTAAACCACACGGCAACCTTTCTCACGCGAGAGCGCTGCAAAAAAAGCAGTGCGGAGGACATGACCTGATTCTCACATCCAGAACGAAATTCTAAATCAATGGTTTATTTGATCGAATTGTTATGGGTTGAAGAGACGAGTGCGATACGTCATGTACACCGATATATCCCACATTTGCCCCGTTAATGTTTTTTTTTTTTGTACCTCACGATCAAGCCTCGAACCGTCCGCCGGTTATAAATAGGTTACATAATATTTCCTCCGGTCAGCAATCGCTGCTCGATCGAGCTTTGGTGGTTGCGCAGGTATTGCAGTTAGCAACGAACCAAAGCAAAACATCACTGCCCAACAATACTGCAATGCCAGGACGCTCCCATCGTTTAAATTCAAAGCATCGCTTCATGCACCGCTGAACTATCCGGAGAGCTGCGTCGAGAGGCATTCAGCTGGCAGCTTTTCGAGGCTCGAAAGTGAATTAATTAACGGATAAGTCGCTCCGTCTCAGCTGATCGAACCGGGCGGTGCTCCCGGAGACACACGAAAGCTGTCCTCACCTTACTCGTGCATCGTTTGGCACTTGGACGAGTTTCTCCGCACTTCTTCGGATGGTCAGATGCTTGGCGCAGTCAGCCTTGAGCCTCGATCATTGCGCAAATGAACGTAAACGCAGCAGTTCTTCACGTCCCTTTGGCACGCACAGTAGGTATTGTGAGCACAAGCAATGTAGATTGACGAAAGTTTCGGTGATAAATTCTACGCGAGGTACAGGGAAACTGCGGGAGTAGAAATCGGTGATACACTCGGCGAGTGCGACGCGCCAGCTCGGAACACACACGCCCACAACGCCGTTTACCAGACGACAACTGCCGCGGACAAGTCCAATCAATAAGAAGCCGCGCCGCGTCGACGTCAAGTGGCGCTACTGTACATAATTTGACTACTACTAGACGTGTGTGAAACGTCCTCTTGCCATCTTACTTCGAAGATAAACAGTGAAGCACTTGTCCACGTATAGGTATATTAATTATGCGTAGACTTTCTGAGCACTTGAATTGTGATTTGCTCAAATTCTGATTCAACTTAAATGTCAGATGTAGTTCTCAGTTGTGCTTCACATTATTTGTATTATTGCGTACATCAGCGAGTCTACTCACACATGGCGCTAAATTTGAACCGCCGGTATTTGCAGCATTGTCGACACGGGAAACTGTGGGTCGCCGTTGTTTATACTGAAAATAATAAATGTCAGATGCAACAAGACGTTCATCAAACGTGACACGTTCACACGCAGTGCGACCAAACCACTGATAAATTTTCACCATGTCAATTATGTTATTCCCATGCACATTTCTTCTGTTTGAAGGTGTGTGCCACAGATAAAGCAGTGGATGTGCTGCAGCCGTTTTCAACAGCATTTGCTTGTGAGCAGGAATTATTAACATAGCCTGTCTGAAAAATAAGCACAGGAATCAGCTCAATTTAGCAGCGGACATGCAGCTGGTTCAGAGCCTAACTTCATTTGTTGGTGCAAGTAAAGTGAGTCAAATTGCATGTTATACCTTTGCTTACTTTAATTATTGCATGTAGCATGAATAGAATGAAAAATACTTGCATGAAACGATGAAGTGGAGGGGGGGGGGGGGGTCCTTTTATGGAGCTTAGCAGCGTTTCTTGGGGTCAACATGCTCGAGAACCCCTACACTAAAGTATGTGTATTTTTAGAATAACTTTACCCGCGGCGACAGGTATCTCGCATTGATAAAATATCGGTCATATATGTACTGCCATCACCTTTGAAAGCGATACCATGCAATTCCATTAGTATGTTCTATTTGTCACAAGAGTGATTGGCCAATTTTTCTACTTGCTCTGGTAAACACGTGCATATAGTTTCAGGGTACATTTATGTAGACACAAACATCTTCATGTTTGTATCTACGAGCTAGGACCAGAAACTGCAAATACCTAGGAAACTTTAAAACACCTGATAATAGCAAAACTATGCAACATCAAACAATTTCCCCAGCACTGTAATGTACTGCTTGAAAATTGTTTCTTGGAAATCTGAAAACTAACTTTGACATAAAAGACATCAAAGAAATTTGATTTAATTAGTATGTACGAATTCAAGTTTCGATGAAACATGGCAATGAACTTGTTGCTATTTCACAAAGGCACATAACCTTGAATACGCCAATAATTTTGAATCATTGTTGTGTAGCCCGGTGCAAAATTCAGTTAAAAATTTAGGCACTAGCTTTCACTGCAAAAACAGACAGGTTCTTTCAAACCAGTGCATACACAGACCATTATGAGCAACATTGCAGAATTTCATCTTTATTGTTCAACACAGCGATAAACATAAAAGCTTAACACGATTTCTTAACAGTGATATCTTTTCAGAGCGTTTACAATTGTTCCAGCCAAGCTATGCAAGCCTGCCAACTGGTGCCGAAATCAAACTATCAATCACAATCTAATATCACCTTTATAATGACAGTCCTTTACAACAACCAGAAAAATGAATACAACAGTCTCAAAGTAAGTGCTCCATAAATTGAGCATTGTAATTACATTATAAGTGCATTACTTATACATGTTCAGTATAGAGCAAGTAAAAATATACATACTAAAAAATAAACACAACAGATAATTCATTGCTACCACAAAATGAAATATGTACAGATTTATGCAAAAATACATGTACCACTTCAGTCCCGAAACAAACTCTGCTACACAGTGAGAAATGTGCCTACACCAGGCCTGTAGTCAGGAGATGGGGGAGGGGACCTGGGGGCTCGGGCGACCACCGAAACTTTAATGAAGGTGGGTATTATTTTACCAAAAATAAATAATGAAAAAGATGTTTTTCTCAAATGAAGAAGGCCTTTGGAGAGTGCCCCTCCCCCATTCCTGAAAAAATTCCTGGCTACAGGCCAGCACAGTTTGAGACACACAAGGACGCACACTTTCCAAGTGAATTCTATGACCTGAGTTTCACAAATTGCATACTCTGCACAAGGCAGCAACAAACAGCTGATTTGCATGTAAAGCTGTTGGTGATAGCTGCTTTGTCACAGGCACTGAACAAACGAAGACGGGGTTGGCAACAATGTTATTCATGCAGTGAAGCATCGATGAAGGTTGTTGTTTTGAAAATAAACACATAGTAATGCTTTACAAACATTACTCATGAACCATCCCTGGGCTAGGTGAAATTACACATCATGCTGAAAGCAGGCACTGCCATGAGCAGCTCCGCTAAATCTTTGTCATCCGCGGTAAGGAGAGTTTAGAAGTGGTGCACGAAGTTGCCATTTTCTTGTATGCCCTCTTTTCATACGAAGGTCTGCGCCTTCCTTCTTCAAAGCTGCCAGTGCCTGTTGTTGGACGTCACACAACAGACAGAATGCTAATGGCCAATAGCCAACATAAATCAAGATTGGCATTTGGCCCATATGCACTTTTCGTCCACATGTTGGGTTCTACCACGTGTTGGTGCCAAACTCCAAAGTCTGCAAACATTACATGGTATTCGCACCAGTGTGCACAGGAACCACAACAGGAGAGAGCGATCATGTTTCGTCATGCACAATCAAAGTCGAGATATGTGCTGAGGCTTCTTTCCCTTGCACCATCTCTATCTGTGTAGCTTCTAGCTCGCTTCTAAAGGTAAGAAAAGAGAGAAAATTCTCAAAGCATGCAACAAATTCTTGTACCTCCACTCATTCACAGTGGATTCAAGAAATTGTTATCGTAATAGATTTGTGAGTCTATAAACTCCAGTACTGATGTCACTGTGTGATTACTTGAAAAATGGTTCCGAACCCTTTAAAAACAGAAGCATGACAGAATTATATTCTATGCCCGAGTTCTTGAGACACAACATTGATTTCCACCTAAAAAAATAAGAGGGAGTGAGAGAAGATATAATCAAATTTTGAAAGCATTCAACTCCAGCAATATACATAGATATGTGTCAGACCTTCGTTTTGCTCACGTGTCAAACGCCTAGCTTATGACAGCAGGTGACTGATACGATGGGAAACATTCAAGCCGCCACGAAGAAAAGGTTCACTTCAACAAGGTGGCACATTGCTGGACCACTACTTCAACTTTAGTGTTACTTCTCTGAAGCTTTTTTTTTTTGAAAATTTTTTACATTCTCGGTGCCCTTAAAAATCATGCTTTTCCTGAGCAATCAATTTTTTTTTTTTTTCATGCTATGCAGCCAGTGGGACGGAGCTGCCTGCGCTGAGAGAGGAACATGTCTTGCATTCCGTGCGCATAAAATCTTGGCGTGAGAAGTTCGATAATCATGTAGATCACAGGCACAGAATTTCGTGGCGACTCAACAGGACGACCATTGTGCCAGAGCAACTGCTACTGTATGCGTGACATTTTGATGGGGCAGGTGGCAGAGACGGTGAGGAAGAAAGGCCCTTCCTGGAATGGCTTGAAGGTGGACGGGATCACATTGTACACACCGGCTGGCACACGTTCTAACTCGAGAACCGTGAAGCCGGACCTGAAACATGAAGCACACTCAGGCCTACGGTATAGCTCTGTTGTAAGCAGTGCAGAATACGGTGAAGCACCTTGTTAATAATAAAGTAATAATCATAGTTGAGGCTTAACATTCCAAAACCAAAATATGATTATTAGAGATGCCAATCAGAAACATCACTCACTTGAACATTCCTGATCCTTTCCGAGCAAAGAAGTCTGAACATGATGGATTGTTGACAGTGACAGTCACTATATCAAAGCCGATCTGGTATTGTCTGAAGCCAAAAAAGAAACAAAAATAGCCACAACTCACTCAGGCACTAATTATAATGCATGGTATACTTACACAGAAGTATGGAGACAATTGTGCCCAATAATCAAAAGGTTACATATTTTCACGTCTTTGTCAACCACATCAAAAATAACTACTGACATTTTTACACAATCAAAGGAAAAACGTGATCCTAATAGGCATCCAGTCATGTCAATGTAGTTCAAAAGCACAACATTCTATATTTACAGCATAACACTGTCTAAAAAAAAATAAGCCTTTTGAACTTACATATGAATTTTTTTTCTTTCAGGTCTCAGGAGAACACTGTTCATAATATTACAGGTGTAAGCTAAGTATGTAACCAGGTGTGAGCTTTTGCTATGTGTAAAAGGACCGATTAGCAATAGATCAAGCACAACCTATACCAACTTTCTCATTGTAAACAAATATGTGCTGTACCATTATTCATAATAATGAAAGTGTACTGGAAGGCTGTCAATCTCTGGCTAGTGCACAAGCTACTACCAGGTAAAGTTCTCCGTGAAATTTTAAGTAAACATTGCAGCTTGATCATCGTAACCAGCCTAGTTATGTCCACTGGTGGAGAAAGACCTCTCTCCCAGTAACTGGCTACCTCAAGCTCTGTAGACACTCCATACACCACCAACCACTGCTCAACCGTCCACTGGTCATCCGGCATTTACCGAGTAGCGATACAGTACTTCTTACCACATGCCTGCCAATTAATCCACAGGTTGTATTGGAAATCAACCTTTTCTACACTCCTCAATAACAAATAATGCGGTGTAGTGTCTCACTTTGGGCCTTTCAGGCTGACCAGCATCTGATTGTTGTCGTGGCTGCTCTGCAGAGACACCTGGTACACTGGATTGCGGCTATACGTCTCTGGATGGTTGCCACAGCCACCGGCCGTTGCTGCTGTCCACATCCCATGCTTCTCCTGCACAACAGGTCAGTGGGACTTCTCTGAGATGACCACGCTAAACAGTGATAGCATTCACCGATGACATGAATGAAATGCTTAAAGTTTTCTGCCAGACACTGAATGCACTGATCAAGCTCTGCCTTTAGTACTAAATTCCAGTAGCCACCTTTTGCAAAATGTCAATGTAGAGATCAGCATGAAGCAACCCACAATGAAATAAAGGTACACCACTTTTACTGTTATCTCTAGCAATATATACGTTGAGACACCACTTCCCGCGGTCTCCCGACACTACACTAGTGCCGGTTACTGTCCCTACACAAGATATTTCAAGGGCAGTGCACTTTCTACCCAACAGCAAGCATGGTCGTACAGATGCAGTAAAAGGGGCCCAAGCACAATTTTTTTTTCATAATTGGTTCTAATGAGACTTTCTGAGTTCATGCATATATTTGTATGAGAATTTTGAGTATGCACTCATTTTTTCTAGTATAACGTGTAGTTTTTGAAATACCAAGTATTTCATGTGCCTTTTGGAAAGCAAGGTCATTCCTCAACTAAGAAAGCTGAAAAGTAAATGAGCATATCCCGACAATCTGGAATGAAGAGTGGTGTGCAGTACAAAAAAAGTTCATGCTTTAAAACCATTTGAATTAAAGTTATGGTACAATGAACATTCGCGAGAGAGTGAAGCTGAGATTTCGCTCATGAAAGTACAACATACCAAGCTTTTTGTTCAAGTTGCTTCAGAACATAAATTTTTGTTGTACTGCACGCATTTCCAAACCCAGGTTATTGCGATATACGGATTTACTTTGTAACACTCTCAGTCTAAGAAAAACCTTGCTGCACAAAGGGCACATAAAACTTTTTCTTTTAAGAACTACACATCATAGAATTATAAAATTGCATATTTGAAATAGGCACACAAAAATACATACACTCAGCCAGTTTTATCAAAATCAGCAGGAAAAAAACTCGACTAAGCGCCATGCTCCCACTTAGCCCTGTCTGAAGATACCATGGTGCCTCTTGTCATCTGTATGTCTTAAATAATTTGCTATGTCTCACTGTTCCTACAAAATAGACAAGAAAACTATAATGAAATAGTACTACTTTTGTATACTGTTACACTCATAGCTACATTTTTTTTTTTTGGTAATCTTGTTTTCATGGTTATTCTTTTTATGCAAAAATGTGTTATCCTGGGTATTCCCACCGGCAATAATGCCTTTGGGTGCTGCAGATACTTTGAATGAATGAATGAATAAGTGAATGAATGAATAAATAAATAAATAAATAAATAAATAAAAATATGACCTATGGCATGAGTGCGTGGTGCAGAACATCCAAAAACACTCTTTGGCTGTTACACTATAACGAACGTGCTGTCAACTTTCATTCTACAAAAAAAAATGAATAAAAGCACAATCTCATTGTTTCTATGTGCATCCTTACACAGAAAGGCAGGCTCTTATCTGTCAATGCATCACAATTCTTTCATGGTTTCTTCTTTCGTAAAAATCAAGCAAAACACCTTGATAACTGTACATGTATCAGCAACCATGGTTACAAACGGTCTACAGCTGGTTGTGCAAAACCTATTCAATTCTGCACAACAGTATGGGTAGCTAAAGGCACTGCGCTCCAATGGGCTGTAATATGAATGAGCGTGGCTGTTGCAATGTTTTTCTATGTCATTTACTCAAGAAGTCTGGCTTCCTTTTATAATTTTAAAAGCAGCTTAGTCTCGTGAATCTTTTAAAGCAGCTAATCGACCTGTCATTTCATATCTTCCATTCATGTGCGCTTCTACAGGTGTTGGACTACCCTGAACCTGATGGCAGTGATGCCCGCAAAAAGGTTTCAATTGTATGCAGAAAAGAACAACAAGAACAGTGCAAGAAATCCTCTATCACAATTCACAAAGCTGCAAATATGATATACTATAACCTTCCCACACCCACACAATTAAAAAGCAATGTCAAAAAACTAGAAGTGTGCGAATATTCAGTTTTGATTATTTTTAGAATAGTGTTTGTTGTCACCTCATCACATTTTCGTATTGCAGCAAAGCTTCCCCATAAGCTAGAGATAGACGTTTAATTAAATGAGGCCCCTTCAAATTTTTTAAATGCTTCACCTCATCTCACGCCCTTATAGCGGCAAACTTGCCTTTCAGACTCTGCTACTGTCACATGTTTATCGACTCGAGAAAACACTGGTTCCAACATGGAGATGGGGCTCAAATAATGCAGTTTTGGACCTGAAATTTGGGCAAGAAGTAAAAAAAAACTGAAAGCTGAAGATTTTCAGCATCCAAAACCTCAAATGTCAATGTATGTTAACATCGATGAGGTGGATTTGGAACAACTAACTGAAAGAAAGCACTACCTTGATTGCCTTTGCCTTTCCCGCGTGAAATGTTGTCGGCAACACTTTGGTTGCACCAAATCATGTACTAATACAATTAGGCCTCTGCATTGTCTCATTCTTGATAAGACAACTATGAAATACCGCGCTGCCAGCACTTCATTAACCTATCAGAAAGAAACACTTTCATGCAGCTATATCTCATGAAAATATGCTTAAAAATCTTAGGTAAACTTTTTTTTCTGCGATTTCACTTCGAACTCACCCTTCAATACTGGAATTTGCTGCGCACCCAAAATTTTGCTATTCCCACCGCTCTACAAAAACCTTTGGCACTTTGCTGCGAGGGGATGTGCATTGCTGAGTTGGTGGGAGCCTCACCTCACGAACATATTTGTAAGGATTTCCAATCGGTGCCAGCTGGAACGGGCAGCTGCTGTAAGCCCGCAGTGTGTAGTGAATAGTGTTGTTTTTCTCGTACTGTGACACCACGAGGGTGTAGCGGGTGTCCCCGCCCTTGGGAACCACCATTTTGCACAAGTAGTGCGGGCTGTTAATACGCACACCATCCAGGTACGGTGGAGGGTCAACTGCAATTCATCATAAAGAAAAGAGAGGGAGAAAGAAAACTATTCATAAAGATGTTCGATCCCTCCACTCTTCTGCAGAGCACTTCTCAATAATAAAATCACACTGTCTTCTCTGTGAAAAGCTATGGGTATAACATTAAAAAAGACTTCAAGAAGGAATTGACAAGCACATTCCTAATGTTCATGACAAGTTTACCATAAAAAGCTACAGTATTTTCCCCACAAATATGGATGGTAATGATAACAGAATTACCAGAAACATAACGTAAGGGGGGAGATGAACAACAAGAGAGAAGGCAGGGAGGTTAACCAGGCACATGCCCGGTTTGCTGCCCTACGCTGGGGGAATGAGAAGGGGGGCATAAAGATGAGAGAGAGAGGAAACAGAAGAGAAAGAGAGAGAGAAAGAAAAAGAGGATTGTCAGTCAATCGGCTGGCGCGTATGCAGCGGTGGCACTACACAAAAGTTAAAGGTAGTCACGTAGGCCTCTAGTTCTCAAAAAGCACAAGACAGCTTTGACTGCTTTTTGAACCGACAAAAGGCGAGGGCAGCACACTAAGCCAAGGTGCTGGCTTGCCAGGGTGCTAAAAATGGCGTCACTCATACGTGCCAGTGAATCTCGCTCAAGGGGGCAGACTGGTCTTTGGGACCAAAAAGTGACACAAAAATTCATTTTTTAAAATTGACATATTTGGTTTCTGCAAATATTTTTCTATCTCTCTGCAAATTTTCTCACAGCAGGAAGTTTTAATTTTTCTTTAATGTCATTCTAACTGTCCAGATTCTTGGTGCTGTTAACATGCAGAACCAGCAAAAAAATGGGGAACCGACTTTGAGGCTTCTCTATAATAGGCCGGCACCTGTGTTAGAAGCTCTGCCACGAATTTATGAGCACCTTTATGAGGATTGCAAAACATGTGCATCATGATTGTTGCTTTTTGAAGAAGCTGTGTGTTTTCAGTTTTTTCCATTTTTCTCAAAAAAGTAAATTTACGACTGTGCAATATTGAGGCCTCAATATCTCTGCAGCTAGGACAGGTATAACAATAATTATTTTTGCAATGGAAACCTGTATGTGTGTAGAATGTAAGTATGGGAACAGAATTTAGTGCACAAGCCCTTTTAATTAATTACTCGTCAAAATTGTAATATAATTCCTACTGCTTTTGAAAATGGGTAGTTTACTTTGCTGTAAAATAACCAATAAAGGCCAGAAACAAAAAAACTTTTGCATACATTCACTCTATAGTCATTAGTCTATGTTGTAATATCTTAAATATCACTTTTAATTAGGCACTTTTTTTATGGCAGCCTTAAATAGTAGGGGGTGAACTTATGTTATCTCAGGAACAAGATGAGTTACAGGAAAACTAATTAAATATTTGAAATCGGCAGAAAAAACCACATAACCCTGTGCAGTTTGATCAAGATTACTGAAGAAATAAACAAAAAATGTCTAAGACCAGTCTGCCCCCTTAAATCATACAAAAAGTGACAATTGAAAAATGTGACAGCTTTTCTCTTTGATCGTAAGTCAGAAAAGGGAGCTGAACATCATTTTAATTTTAGTAATGGCACAAATCGTACTAAACACCGAACCACTTTTATGCGTACAGCAGGTCTTTCCACGTCAGTTCGATTAGTCAACGTGAGCAGTGTGAGTGAAGGCAAGCAAGTTGGACTCACATGGCAGGTACACTTTCCTCCCGTTGTTCTTGTACACCAGCAGGCATATGTATTCGCGGTTGTTTGCAAAGTCCTCCTGCAGGCGCGAAACGCAATGGAAAATTGGCTCAATGCATACACAGTCAATGAAGAAGGAACACTGACCCTGTCTATGATGTGCCTTGTAAGCAGGATCCACACAGCACAACCCGACTTGCTCAGCTCGAGTGAAAACTGCGGGTTCTCACCAATGTTGTACAAATCCTTGACCGGGCCACTTCCGGCATTCCATGACCTGCAGTGCGGTTCAAAGCAAACAATGACAGTAAGGACGGCAGAGTAGCCAAAAATTTTTATTTCGACGTGGTTCAACCACCTTTTTTTTATGTGTCTGCAAGTGTTTTTGTATGGGTGTGAATATATACAAATGCATGACTGGAATATTTTGTGGTGTGGTAGAGGGGAATTTAACCCCCCACCTCGCCACTACACCAATGAGTAAGGGTAATCAATAACAGTAAGATACTTCTCAGACACTGCTGTGCAGTTTAATCATGTATTATTTCTTTTCTTGTCTAGCAAAAGAGCAGAAGGAATAGTTTCAAAGTGCTGCGAGGTTTAGAACAAGGACGACTGTGATGAAACCTTTTAAGGAAGGAAATAACAAGATCTTCTGTGTGGTGTGGCTTCAACATGGGACTACCCACCGTACTTTGTAAACACATTTCCACTTGAATCTCCACCCGCAACACTTCTGAGAAGGGTCTGAGTAAATTATAATTATTACGAACATAATTTCAATTTTTTCTTTATTAGCCAATTTCAATTTCTATGTGAAGTTGCATTACTGCCTAGCGTAAAACACATTGAAATCAATTTGATCCCCACAGTATGCAGAGTTACAGTGTAAAACAAAGCCCATAAAGGCGCAGTTCGATAAGGATCCTTGCCTGTGAGTGCAGTAGGTGTACTGGAACAAGCCCGGGTTCCAGTTGAGGTAGGCGACGTCAAAGAAGTGGCACACAGAGTCATAATCGATCCAGAATACTCCTGCAGAATGAGGTTTCAGAGTACTTTACGCACACATCACAATTGAACCGGTTTAACAGTGAACCCCATCTTTATCGGAAGATGAGAACAGAGCGTGCAGACAACTGTGTGCTCAGTAGAAAGAAATACTGCCGGAGCAAACATCGCTTTAAGTGAATACAAGTTCGCATATGCTCAGTCGGTTAACACATCAGTCATGCAAACAATTTTTTAAGTGCTGCGGCTTTGGATGTCATAAGTGTAGCTACAGTGGGTAATGACGGATGCTGAGGTGGAACACTCTAAGCTTTTTTTTTTCCATCTTGGGTTGTTAGACCCGTTCCACATCAATATTTTTTTTCAGAAAGCTGTACGCCTAGTACCAACAAAGCTTTGTGGCCATAACAAGAGCTTCGATTGTTAGACACAAGGTTTTGTTCTGCGTAAAACAATCTCCTCTGGAGCAACGTATCACACTGGGAATCCAAAAGAAAGGTAAGATGGGAAAGATGGAAGGTTGCGATGAGAAATTCGCAATTTGGGGGTTGGTGCTGGAGCCAGTGTTTCGACAAATGGACTTGCCCTTCTCAAGGCTGCAACTGTTCACACTAACAGATACAAAATTATTAGAAATTTTGAGCAATTGAAAAAAAACCTATTTTCTTGTTTTTTTTTCTGAAATTTTGAACAAAAAATGGAAACGAACAAATTTTCTTCAGCATATGACAATAGTTTATTGTCAGTTATGACTTTCATTATGTAAACAATAGAAGTGAAAGGCTTTCTGTCTTTTAGGAAACGAATAGAGCGTTTAAATGATCGAAAGGCCACAAACATCCCCACGAACTCATTCAGTTCTCTGTGAATGGATGTGGCTTCTTAAAATTGTTACGGCAGTTCAAGCAAACGCCCCATAAATGTCTATTTCGTCGTGACTTTGACTACAGAAGCAATGATCAAGATGGTAAAAGGATGAAGTTCTACCTCTTATTCAAAGTCAGTATCACTGGCTTTATCTGTACCTTTCTTGATAATTTTCAGATGTCGCATTGTGAAAAGTGTAGCTACTGTTGCAGTGCTTACAGACAGCAGGTCCCCATTTCCTACAAATGTTTGCCCCAACAGTGAAGAGCATTAACACGTCGGAAATCAGCCCTAGAATAGTAGAATCTGCTTACACACGGCTTTATATGCGCAGTTCTGCCACGGTTCACAAGAAGGAAAGTCAAAGCTGAACAGTAACGGGCACCAAAACATCTGAAACCACCCCACCATGACCGCACCCGAATGATGAAGCTATGCTAGAATAGCGAGACTGACGCTGCAGCTGACTTTATGTGATGTTGATAGCAAATGGCCAGCCGTCGTTTGGTGTTTTGGTATCGTGTCCGAGGTTTAATTTAGCGTTCTGCATTTAGTTTCACATTCAACGCTACGTGTTGCCTAAGCTTTATTTCTGTACGTTTTACCCTGCGGAAATTTTGGCCAATTTTTTAAACTGCATAAAAAACTAAAAAATTAAGTTTTCTTTTCTGAATTTTTGCGCTTTTTTCCCCACTTCACATCTCTAAACTCGCTACCGCACTAGAATTCTAGTTATCATAGTTCAGTTGTAATAAGAAAATAAGCACAGTGCAAGCCGCGCGACTGTTTGCACACACGAGCACAGCCATACCGTTATCAAACATGGCAGCGTTGTGTGGGTCGTATCGCAAAGCCTGGGCTAGTGCTGGTGTCCAGCTGGTGGTGTCACGCTCAGAGAAGCGGCCCTTCCAGCGAAGGTGACTCCAGGGGTTTTTGAGCAGGAACAAACGCCGACCCTGGCAACCAATGCAGAAAAATACTAAAGCATCTTTTCTCGTAGGAGTCATTTGATAAAAGGAGTACTGACAACAACTTGAACAGCTTTATAATACAAAGAATACCAAATTCTTCTCGCACGTGAAGAGATAACACTTAGCTAGCCAGACGTCTGGGAAACATATCTTATGTGATACGTTTAAGCGGGTCTTGAAATCCAAAACTTGGCACCACTGACACTATCACAATGTCATGATTCATAAAAAAAGAAAATTTGCTGGTGAATAAGGAAAGTTCTGACATTGTTGTGTGTTAAAAAAACAGAAAAAGGTATTAAATGCATTTCTTCTGGCTATTCTCATGTGTCACAGATCTGACAGAGAAAGCCACCTTGGCGTGACACTATGGCATTTCCATCTCCATAATATCAATAATGAAGGTGGTTATTAATGACATATGCTAACACAACAAATTTTGGGCATTGTAATGCTCGCAAGTATACATTTTAGGAAAACAAGCATCTAAATCTAAACAAAAAAAAAACGCAAATCAACTGCGTTAAGTTAGTCAATACTCCTTTAATGAACTTCTAAGTTGAATTAAATGATTCTCAGTTTATGTAGATGTTATTAGAAAACATTCAACTGCATATAAAGAATGCTATTTCTTACAACAGCTAGCAGAATTTAGCATTCACATAAAGCGCCATCAACTCACCTGCACTTGGCGTACATCGAGCATTGCATAGGCATGTGAAGGTACCAAGCCTGACCGTTCTGCCTCGGCCTCACTCAGCTCCCCGGTGGCAAGGGTGACCAGCACATCACCACGTTGGTGTCGGTCGAGCAGTTTGTTGAATAATGCCTCTGCGTCGAAGGGTGTGTCTGCGCTTCCATGAAGACTGACCCGTTCGGGGATCCAGCCAGTGAGTGCATGTAGGTCGATATTCTGCGCCAGAAAAATGTTGTTGCTCAGCTTAAGTCAGGATTATCAAACAGCTCTATATAAATAAAATGAATAAGAAGAATAGAACAGATGTACGTAGTAATCTTTTAACTAATCTCATGGCCAGAAACCATTGACAGATCCAAAAGCTGCCAGAGAAGGGTGAACCGTAGGGAAGAAGGGGGCAATAGCCATTGCCCCCTTCTCCCCTAGAGTTCACCAAGTTTTAGTGTGTGTAAAGTCAGGTTTGACTAATTATGCCAACTTAAACACTTGTTGCCTAGATTGATGAAGGCCTTTACACGAGGGTGAAAAGATGTTTATGACGCCAGATATCACACAGAAGTTATCAGTAATTAAGCAATGCAAAAAGACTACAAAAAACGAGCACTGTTCTCAAGTCAGTTAACGCAGTTCCCCACTGCACTAAACAAAGCTGGCAAAGTTTCACCATATGTGGGTCCAGGCTGCTTGGTCGATGGGTCGCAGCGGGGGGGTCTCACGCCAACAGCAGGGACAGGCCAGGCATGGTTGAAATACAGCAGAATTGCTGTCATTGGAAGAACTCGCCTCAGGGCCAATGGTAGGCCCAGGTCTTGAATGCGCCCGGGTCCCAGCACAAAGAACCGGCGCCGGCTCCAGTACACCAGTGGAGGCAAACAACCCACGGACAAACTTCAGGCAGCGTTCTGCTTCGGGACCAGGACCCGACGAGCGCCTCGGCCTGCGACTGCAGTCACGTTCTCCAACCACCCTCTTCTTTCTTCACTTCTCCCTCTGCCTGTCCGGCTTGGCTTCCGATCACAGTTTTTTGTCTTCAGGCCTGACTTGTCGTGGTCTTCATCGACGCACCACCACCGCGCACCACACGAGAGTACCGTGCACAACCTGACAGTGTGATCACCCATGTATAATCGAAAAACCGATTGCAACAGAGTAGTAGGATGACTGCCAACGAATATTAACAGTATTTTCATGATGCATATGATGGGAGTCTTGTGATAACATTAATTCCATAAAACAAAGTGAAACGATCCTCCCCCTCACCTTTAATAGCAATCGCCCATTATAGAGAGGGGTGGATCTGCTGCCACCATGAAGCACCTCAAAATGAGCTTGATTTGTGGGGTTTAACGTCCCAAAACCACGATATGATTATGAGAGACGCCGTAGTGGAGGGCTCCGGAAATTTTGACCACCTGGGGTTCTTTGTGCACCCAAATCTGAGCACACGGGCCTACAACATTTCCGTCTCCATCGGAAATGCAGCCGCCGCAGCCGGGATTCGAACCCGCGCCCAGCGGGTCAGCAGCCGAGTACCTTAGCCACTAGACCACCGCGGCGGGGCCCTCAAAATGAGCTTCACATGCTTTTCATGCTCAACTACAATGATAAATAACCATAAAAAATGCTGGTTTCAGTGACAGCTACGTCTAATAAAATCTGCTGCTCATTGTCACAAAAGAGCACACAGCATTTTCTCTATCTCAATGTGGAATTCCCATAGCTCACATAGCACTGAGGCTTGAAATACCTAGAAGAAACACAAGAACAAAAATCGTCAGCACTTACAGAGTTTGAGCCAGGGAAGTCATAGCCGCCCATGACCTTCATGTAGGCCTTCTCCAGCAGTGAGACCCAAAACTCATTCTTGTTGTTCGAATACGAGCACAGCATCTCCGAGCTCTTGCCCATTGGTAAGTAATCATCGATGACAACCTGACCAAGGTTGTATCCAAGAAGGTGAATTGACCACAGTTAAGTCTCTGATTAAAAAATAAAGAATGGAAAGAAAAGAAGAAGAAAAGAATTACCTTTCTTGGCACGCCATTTATGTTAAGCTTGACAGTGTATTTGCCACAAGGATTGTATACAGGCTGTCCCTGCCTGTTCTGGGGAAAGATTATGCTGAAATATGTGAAAGAAATGTGATGCCACTAAGTAATATACAGTAACAAATTTGGTAGTCATGAAATAAGAAAGTAAAAATTAATTAGAACGATACAGAACGCTAGGTCAAACTCAAGGCTACTCTGATACTGGCTGTACTTTTTTGGTTATGTTTAGTATTATTTCCAAATGTACCTAAAGTATTGCCATAAAAACTTTTCCCAGTTTATCTAAGAGTGGGTCATTAAAGTAGACTGCCACAATGCCACATTTCTCCGGGTTGATATTTCTTATCCTAAGTGTGGACAAGCAAGCAGAGTGTTGGTTTTTTTTTTTAGCACACTAAGCTTGATAGAGGGGTCAACAAACTTGGCAAGAGAAACACACAACCTGCTACGCAATAACTCTGCAGCCCTGATGTAGTTGCCACACTTATTGTAACCCTAAAGTAGGAGTCATTTCCCTTATGAGAAGGATGCTTTAACCTCTACATAATTGCTGTATGGCTACTACAACTGAGCAGCTTTAGTCCTGTATATTAAGAGGATCTCAATCGTTCAAAAATTAACAGCACAACGTAGTACGACTCTAAATGCAGAAAAAGGCTTGTAAATACACTATTATTATGCTCTTTCATGCCTTGCCTGATTTGGCATGCATAATGTCATTAAAGGATAGTCACATGATCACAAGTCCCCGCACTCCTTTTGAACAGAGTTTTGTCATTTGAATTTTCAGCTTAAACTGCAAATCATTATCGACACAGTTTAAATTAAAAGCAAATGGCCGATGTAATAAAACAAATACTATAGTACAAATACATGCCACTAAACTTCCAAAAAAAACATATATTTTCTGTGTGATCTGTAGACATTTTGTACATTAGTTACATACATTAAAAATGTATGTGCTAACAGTGGCCTATTTTATGCACACTAGATCATTATAAATATATCCATGTCCCTACCTTGTAATTATTTTTTTCTTGAACCGCTTTTCATACAGACCACTCACAGCCAAGGATGCCACAAATGAGCAGTCTGAAACAACAGTCTGAGAGAAGAGCAAAAGAAAAAATTGTTTGGTAAAAAGCAATTTAACACAAAGACTGGCTAGAATAACATAATGCCTATAATGACCATGAAAGAGATACTTGATAGCAGCCGTCCTTTTTTATTCACCTAGTACACTTTCCTGCAATGCTGGTTTAAAGCTAGACCACTCAAGAACCTCCTCTTCCTTAGCAAGCATGTTTACTATACACTGTGAAGCACACAGGGCTGGTAAAATAGAAATCAAGTGAACCACAAAAGTAGTGTGCCTAGCCGAAATCTAGCTTGTAAAAATTAATGAACATAGGTTACATATAGGTATTTTCAAATGAGCAATGTGTCATCACGCATTTAGCACGACACTCTGTATAAACAACAGGGTATCATGGTGTGCCTGGAAGTCAAAGCCCATTCCCACAAATGCTATTGGCCTCCTGCTGAAGAAGCGTGCAGGCGTACTGGTAACGCCATCATTCCTACCAGTCTATTGGCAAGCTGTCTCGCATACCATCCTTGAAGCAGTGTGGGTCTCATCGCTCTAACCTACATATCCCGTGTCTTTGATGATATCATGCACCAATCTCACTGGCAATTCAAGCAGGCATACCTGGCGAATGCTGAAGCAGTCGACCACTTCGATGATCTTGGGATCGGATGACAACTCCTCGAGTCGTGCCCAGTGGCTGAAGGAGGCACGCTGTTTGGGCGACAGAGACAGCCTGCCGTCGGGATCGCAGAATGGCAGCTTGAAGGCAAAGCGGTCCCGCTTGTCCGTCTCCAGGAAAGGGACGTACTCCCGACCGTTGATCACTGATGTCTTCCTGGGCCGGGCGCGAGGATCATAACATGCCATGGCAATGGCACATCACTGCACGCCACTGCTCAGCAAAGTCTTGGAAGTCTGCAACCCTTCCAACACTTTTCCTTTTCTTCTAGCATAAAACACTGTTGTAATTCTGCTTTCCCATTTTAAGTTGCCACTCTAGCTGCATAACACTATAAACAGCACACCACTGTTTCCTAACCAATTCAGCTTTAACTAGGGCTGTGCAAATATTCAAGATTTCGGATATTTTTGTAATAGAGTTTCCTAGTCGATTTCATTCCTAGGAAAACTTTATTATTCGAACTTCCCAAAGACAAATAAAGTCAACGTCTGACAATGGTGGCTTTCAGACTTTTAATGAACTTCACCCAATGAACTTCACCCAAATGATGAACTTCACCCAAAGCTGCCTTTCAGGCTCTGCTATGGTAGCAAATGTTTTTACTCAAGAAAATGATGGTTCCGACATCGATATGACAAGTATGGTACAAAGAGATGAGGGCTCAATCATCGCTGTTTGGGGCATGAAATTTGGACAAGAAGTAAAAAAAAAAATCAGACGCCGAAGAATTTTGGCATCTAAAATTTCAGATGTTTTTATGTATGGATGTCTACGAGGAAGATTTGGAACTACGGGCTCAGAGAGAACACGCTTCTCCGCCACATCGCTTGTGCTTAACGAAAGTTGAAAGAGGAGGAGAGGCTGAGGAAATAGCATCTTTGCCTTGCAGGTGCAATGTGTCAGCAACACTTGGATTGCATCAAATTGTGTACATAGATACAATTTGGCTTTGGCATCTGGCTTTTCTTTCTTTCTCTCTCTCTCTCTCTCCCTGCATTGTCTCATTCTTGATAAAACAACTATGAAACATCACGCCACCAGCACTTCATCAACCTTGCCTAAAGAAACACTTTCATGCTGCTAATTCATAATAATGTGCTCAGGAATCCTCTCCAGCTTTTTCTTCTGCAATTTCACTTCGAAGTATTTAAAAATACCCCAGAAATATTCAAAAAATATTTGACTCGATTCACATTCCCACTTTAATATTTGAATTTGCTACACACTTACAATTTTGCTATTCGCACAGCTCTAGTTTTAACCAAAAAGACCAAGAAAAGAAAATTTTCTACAGTGCCGCGACTGTTGTCCAGCTCTGAGCCCTACTTCGATAAAATCAGTGATACTATCTTACCCTAGTACCATCAAGCATAGTCACAGAAGATTTACTGTACGTCACAGAGAAAAAGATGACAAAAAAAGGAGCGGCCACATGCATTGTAACCATGTCACTTTATAATAATAATAATAATAATAATAATAATAATAATAATAATAATAATAATAATAATAATAATAATAATGGTGGTGGTGGTGGTGGTAGTAGTAGCAGCAATAGCAACAATATTATAAGAATAACTTTCAACAACTTGACCATCCTATGGTGGTGAAATTTTTCTCAGTCTAAGTTTTGTGCCCAGTTGTGCTTTTAGCAACTTGTACATATTTCAATGTATTTTGCTGCACTGCAATTATGTCTCTCAGGGAGATTTAGGCAAAACAGACATACTACAGTGAATAACAGGGCAGTGCAAGACGAGTCTGAAGGCAGCAGAATCCATAGAGACCTTCCTGTAACGCAATGCTCAACTATGACACACCGCAAGTGTTCTTTCACTACTACACAACCCTTCGAAAAAGAAAATAAATTAGGCAATGCTCTGGCTGCAGCTAATGTTGCTCCTGGCACACTCACAATGTCAGCATATGGATGGAATATAGCACACACAAATATTATCACCAGCAAAAGTATTTTCAACCTATCATCATTGTAAACAAAGCATTTATTTCCTCAATATTAGGGTGTTTTAGCATACTCTTCTGGCTGTGCGTCACACTTGATGCAGAGGTATGACCTGTACTAAGACAGGAGATTAGTGCAAGTTCTCAATTCCAATGCCATCATGAAGTTGATGTGCAGCCTTTTAGTGTCTGACAAACGATCCAACATTAAAACTACAAATAAATATATCAACTTTAATTTTAGACTGCTCTGCCTACAACCACTTTAAAATCTTCTCTTGAATACAGGTCACCTTAAATATACTGGCGCTGAACATAAAGAAGACCTCGAGAAATGCAGATTTTACTGCACGTGCGTGCAGTTTAGCAGGCACGTGCATGCGTAAGCGCAAAAAAGCACGATAGCCACTGTAGTTTTACTGACAGCAAGAGCACAAAGAGCCTTCACATCGTCGTACTAGGTGTAGTAGAGCTTCTGCAAAAGCATGTGGGTCATATGGTAGTGTTGTGCACGGAGAAGTGAAGGAGAGTGACAAGGCAGTGCCATCGTCACAGCTTTTATTTGGACGTGGGTGTAGAAGCGGTCGCGGCTCCAGCAAGATCAGCAGCTAGGCCGTTCCACGCTCGCATCCAAATAAAAGCTGAGACGACAGCACGGCCTTGTCACCCACCGTCACGTCTGCGTGCACATCATTTGGTGACTTCAGACACAAGAACCAGTGACCAGCGCTTCATCGCTGCCACCGAGCTGCTGTTCCAGCCATGTTCCAGACAGCCCAAGCCTAGCAGCTGCAATTCGACGTGCCGCTGCCATCATTCCGTGCTGCCTGCGTCGACACATGGTTCGCGGAATTCGAGGCTGCCCTGGCACTTAACAATATCTGGATCCAGGAATTCATGTTTGAAGTCCTGGAGTATGTTCGAAGACGTCTGAACCATAATCGATGCCAGCCGCGAGTCATGGCATCAAGTGCAACCGCCAAGCACCATCTTTAGTTTCGTCCTTTTGAGGTCGCGAGCCCTCTATTTTGCACATCGTCCAAACGAGGGCGCTACACTAGCTTCAAGCCTTGTTATCACATTTTGTGCGGACACGCTTGGTAATGCTAATTTATGGTGTGTTCAGGGGTTTTCACTAATGACGCCTTTCATTGGCGATGCCTAGCCATCTAAGAAGGCTCACCTTAGGACCTCTATCTCATCACGTGTATAACCTTCGCTGCCGCTGATGAGTAGCTTGTTCCCGGCATCTCGCACGTGTTCTCCATCAGCTCCGGGAAAGCTCAGAGAAGAGGACGTGGTAGATGCCTCTGAGCTGAACCTGGTGGTCAGTGAGGAGTCGGAGGCCTTGCTGCCACCAATGGGTCTGGCCCCTTCGAGCATAGGCGCTGACGGCGCAGGCCGAATGATCGTACTGCCACTGCCACAGCTGCTGGCCAACTTGGCCTTTATGCTCTCCGCCCTGCGCACCAACATAGGTGGTGTTGCATGTTGCAGTGCCAAGAGCCAAGTGCATGGACAATATCAGTAGGAAAATTTTGGGCTCTTTCTTGAGAGAGGGGCTCTTTCTTGAAAGAGGGGGTAATAACTCCAAAGAAATCATGATGTATCCAGAAAAATTTGTACAGTTTTAAAAGTTTGGCTGCTTCCAAAGCAAGAGAGAAGTCACGTGACTAGACTTCTCTACGATCCAACTCAGTGGTGAGAATGTATATAGTATATAAAACTACATAAATGGTTTTCCACACGCTCAACCCAAAAAACGACAACGTTCTGTGGAAAGAAGTGTGCCACTGCTCAGGATGGTAACAGGGTTGCCACTGACTTTTCTGTGTATTTGCCAAACCACGAGCGAAAATTCGCCAAAAGTCGGCATTTTCCTTCAAAGTTCGCCAAAAAAGTCGCCACTCAACATAAGTGTGGCTGGCCTAGTAATAAAGATAGTAATTGTGTGTGGCCCTTGAAGACAGTACCGTCCGTAACCCTAAATTATATTGACGTTTTTTAATGCCAGTCGGATCACCCACTTCACCATGGGAGGGCTCACTGGGCTTAGAGTCCCATCAACCACTTCACCATGGGAGCACTGAGAAAGGGCATGCATGTACCAGCAGTGTCCCTGAAGACTAGCGCCTCATAACAAAAGTTTGTGATGGTTTCAGCTGAATCGAATACAGGGTGAAACAGTCTTTGCGCCAAGAGAGGAACGGCGTACAGAGCCTTCCTGCAGATTTTACAGAATATCATTGTAGTGCAATAATGTGTCCGATAATCGAACAACTTAATAACAAAACAACAGAAATAAATTCGAAAGAACTGTGTACCCGCGGCAAGGCCTGCACTCAGCTTTCTTTGAAGTTATTCTTACGCTACACATTCACCTTAGTGCAGTTTCTGAAGGCTGCCCAAAGAAATCAACTTCTTGGCTGGCTCGAAAAGTATGTTAACAAATTTAACTTCTACATACAAAATGAAGGAGTACTACCGTACGTAGTCAAGAAGTCAACAAGCTATCGAGGACAGTTAGATGTGTGGTCAGAACACGTGGCCTAACCATCACCTAGCCACTTGAGAAGCGAAACTTTAAAGAAGATTAAAACTCTGAAAGCACCTAAAAAACTTATATAGCACCACTTCGCGGCACGCGAACCACTTCATTGACATAATTTTTGCTGGGAGGTTGCTGGTGGACGCACCAGTATGCCAATGTCTCAAGGATATAGATAATTTAGAAACAGGATAGACGTGCTGAATTGCGCGTAAAGTGCGTCTTCTACTGAAGGCTCTTAATTTATGAAAAATTGAAACGATTTTGTTGCCTTCTTCTTTCAAAAACACTGAATATAGAAGGCATAACTAAGTCTAGACCTAAGGCAAAAATCCCCGAGTCACCATTTATAATTTTAGGTTGCTATGGGCCTCCCAAATTCGCCAATTTGCCGAAAAATATGCCACCAGTGGCAACCCTGGATGACACACACTTCAGCTGGTTTGCGGATAACTACACCAGTGAAAAGTGCAAGGACATGAAAGACAAATGGGTAAATGCTGCCACATGAAAGATTGTTATGCAATTAAACATACCAAATGATTGAAGATAATCGATTCAACAAAATTGCTTTCTGGTAGGGTTTAAGCAAGCCAACCTAAAGCCTGTCTGTTAGGTGACTAAGTCTCTTATGCATTACTTCACAGCCGAATTATGCGCTACTCTGGCTACATACACAAACCTCATCTTTTTAGTTTGTTATTTCTGGTGCAGGCATTGTGAGAAGCTGTGCACAAGCAGCTGCCAGCCAACTCTGCTGTAGAAAACAGAATGTGCCTGGCACTCTCACTATTGGTGTGTTTCGTAGCAACAGCACCAGATTTCAATATTTAGTCTCTCAGGCCACCAGTCACCTGTGCTAATCTCTTTATTTTATGACTGTATGTCAGATTAGTTCCTACCTTCCAGTTGTGTTTGCACTAACGCAGCACCTTCGAGACAGGCGACAGCCAAGGCTGCATCTGACTGCTTGACAGCAATTTAAGAAGCCGTGTGACTAGACTTTTGTCAGATCTCGGTCACACTCCCAACTAGGAGGTTGGAGTATCATCAAGCAGCCCAATTTGAAGTGCAGCTGCTCTTTGAATGGACCAGCATCTTCTAAATGCCAAATTGCCAGCCAAATCTAAAAGACGATTCAAGAGTGCTCAAAAGTGATCACTGATCGCTCAAATGTAGCATACATCCAAGTCTAGTGCCTGCATTCCATCCCTACTAAACTCTTTTTCACCACTTTGGTTCAGCACTACCAAAGCTACGGGGTATAAGAAAGTCGAATGCTTGGGCAGCGAAACGTAGTCCCACATACAAGTGCCTTAAAATTGACAGAGTTGCCTAGAATTGGCTTTTTTTTTTCTTGATGTGCTTTACGCAACATTGATACAATATTTTATTCCTTTTTGCATTTATTTCTTATGCATTTAATTATTTTTGCCAGTTACCGCTCGTAACTGTGTTTACGAATCAACATGGCAGCCTCCATGCAGAAGTGACTGCCCGCTTAAATCCGGACTTGCTCTTGCTACATGCCCACTGAGCTGATAACAGTTAACAAATGGTGAAATCAGCCATCGATTTGTTTCATCTAAATCTGGGAATAAAGCATCAGGTACGTTTCGTCGAATTACCGAGATATGCTGTTTGCTTAGCCACACCTGTTAAGCCTAACGCGCCAATGGAGTGTTCGGACTGCGTCGTGAGACCATGAACGCTTCACCTCCAAATATCAAACATGCAACCTCGCACAGCATTCTGTGCGCGTGGGATCCTCCTTCGATGGAAACAAAAAATAGAGAAAAGGAGCTTTGCAGCTGGAGACGCGAAGGAAGGCGTCGACGGAGAAACAGACATACAAGAGCCAAACACACAGTAGTTATCCACCGGCATGAAAATCTACCAACTACAGCAGAGCAACAAATTCACACTTCTTCAAGTTCCCGGTGAAGGTGCATGTTTAATAGCTTTACTGCATGTTGAAGTTAACGAGCCAAAATAACTACAATTTGTTGAGCAGATGCCATGAATACAGTGAGAACACTACATGGTGTGAATGAATACATGTGGAGGGGCTAAGCGCCCTTCGTATTGGCTGAGGGGTCTGTAGCCTCCACAGTGCTGAAGGAAACTTCTTAAACAGTGTATAGAACATGCCAGAAACCAGGCCCACTGTGTTCTATCCAACAGTGCACCAGATGAGAGTAGTGTGAATCAAACTCCTGAATTTGATAAAGAAATAAATAAAGACAGTTCACACACACGAAAATATGCCTCTGCTTTCTCAATTCCAAGAACTGAATGAGCTTCAACATTTCCAGTATATCACGATGGCTGTATAGAAAACATCAAAGGCAACCAACCTTTCAAGTCCTTGAGATGCAATGCTGGTGAGCTTTTCGTGAAGGGCCTTGTCATCTGTAGCAGCTCTCTGCCATAGCCAAGAAAAATTATACAAAGGGCCGTTAAATAGTGTACATATAAACAACCAAACCTTAATACCTAATGTAATAATTAGTAACAAATGATCGTCACTGACTCACACTACAACAAACCAGATGGCACAGCAGTGACAAACTTAAGCTGTAAAATTCTGCTGCTTACTGTCCCCAAAAAAATATGGTAGAAGAAATGCAACCACCGAAGACACCACATGCCTCTAGCTCCACACACTTCATGAGAAATTAGGCCTTAAAACAGTTTTAACTAACGCTGTGTGAACAGCAAAATTTCGGGTGCAAAGTGAATATGAATATTTAAGTGTGAGTGCAAATCTAATGCAATATTTTTTTAATACTTCAATGTGAAATCACAGAAAAAAAAAAGGCAGAGAGAAGTTGAAAGCATCTTCTCAGAGATAGTGACATGAATGTGTCTTTTTTTTTTGGCTAGGTTGATAAAGTGCTGGTGATTACAGTTGTCCTACCAAAAATGAGGCACCACAGGGCCGCATTATATTTGCGTGCATAAGTTGGTGCAACAAAAGTGCTGCTGACAACACTGTACACTGTGAAAGGCAAAGATTCTACTTCCTCAGCCTCTCCTGCTCTTTAACTCCTGTGAAAGTCCTACTGACGTGGTGGACAATGGTGTGCTCCCTTAGAGTCCCAAATTCCAAATCTGCCTCGTAGACATCAATATACTAAAACATCTGAAATTTTGGATGCTAAAAATCTTCAACATCCGAATTTCGGACTTCCTGCCAAGGTTTAAGTAAATTAACCCTATTTAGGGACCTAAACAGCAATAATTGAGCCTCCACCTCTGTCACATCTACTATCATCCCATGTTGGAACCAGCGTTTTCTTGAGTCAATATATTTGCAATCGTAGCAGAGCCTGAAAGGCAGCTTTGCTGCAATGACAAAGTGATGAAGTGAAGCACATTGAAATATGAAGGGGCCACTGCCAGTCGTACGTTCACTGTATTTGTTTTTGAGAAGTTCGAATAATAAAATTCCATTGCAAATTGAAAAGCAAACACTATCGGAAAAATATTAGAGATTTCTAATATTCACGCACCCCTAGTTTTAACGCTTTGCAGTCCGAAAAAAACCTTTAACCACCTTACGTTCAGTCTGATCCGAAACTAAGAAATTGAAGCACAAAAGAACTTGAGCAGTGTCCAGTAACAGACCACTGCAGCCGTGTTGTGTTGTCGGGAAGAGGCCAACAATAAACCGCAAGGGATTAAATATCCTTTATCAGGAAAATACAGCGAGCTCCAATAGACCTTTCTAGTGGAGAGGAGGGTCTCCAACTTTCTGGACTGTTGCATAGGGGTGCAAAAGCTGACATCACAGCTTCGGCAGAGAATCTTTGGGGGGCCACACATGTTCCGAACAGGCCAGGGAAGACTATGGCGACACCCAAGGAGTTTTACCCGTCAAGATGAATAACAGGCAAGTTTGGTACTAGTAGTATGTTATTTCTATAAAGTAGATGAGGAGCAAACACATAATCTGTCTTCTGTTGCAAGTTTCAAACTTCATATACATACAAGAAGCCCATATGTTTATTTAATTGCTATATGCTAATAAGAACTGAGTTATATGAAATAAAAGGCAGAAAAACTAACTATAATAACTAATTTACAGTGAATGTGCCTCTGTAATCATGTGACAGATAAAATTCAATTGTGAACAAATATGCAATAGAAGCCACTTCAGGAAGCTTTTGGAAGAGCTGATCCTAACTGCATGTAAATGGGTAGCAACATTCCTCATCACAAGTTTATTTTCTTAGCGGTGCCCTGAATGTGCCATAAAAAGCAGATGCACCTTAATTAAGTCAGCTCAAGCAAGGCAGTTGAAGAGACTGAAATGATGGCATGTAATTATGGTGCAATCTACTGGTTCCCACTACACTCCAACTTGAAGTCCACTGGAGAAAGCCTGTGAGGGCCAAACACTTAGCCACTCCAAAAACGATCAGAGGAGCCTTGCCACAAGAAATCCTGTTAAGCATTGATGGTGCTTCCAGTTGAAAGAAAGATGCAGCAGCGAAGGAATGAAGTGTACAATTAAGGGCTCGTTTTTTTTTAGACATATTATTAATGAGATCTAACAGACAATAATGCCAAGAAAAGTAATTTTAAAAGTCATTGTAATTTACATTACAATTACTTTTAATAACATCCCCTATACTTTCCTTCGTATATTTGTGTGTTAGATCTAATTAAGATGGAGATGCCATTAGAAATAACGTAAGCGTAGTCGGCATCCTTGATTTTGGCCAGCTAAATGTAAAGCATGATTTATTACAAAGCCCTAAATGGTACAGTAATCAGCTGTATGGTTAGCTTCAGAACAGTAGTATGACCAAGCAATGATCTATATAATCTGAATCCTTTGTGAGGTGCACTGCGGTGGAGGTGAGGAACAGCTCAAGAAACTATGAAACGAACAGCATGTACGCTGCCTGGCGTTTCTTTTGCTTATCTTTTGCTGTGCCTACTCCTTACTGCATGGCTCCTCAACTACGATACCAGCTATGCTACAAGAGAGAGAGCTTGTTCCTGTACTGTACTTGGCCGACAGGGGATGGGGAAGAGGAGTGTCCCTTGGGGCTGCGGTGGCGGCCCCACGTGGAACGAAGAGCCCTCACCGCCTGCAGGCAGAGCTCAACTGCCAGCGTGTAGAGCTCCAGAGCCTCCTGGTAGTTGTCAGCCTCATCCTCGTCCAGCGCTTGTGACAGCAGGAACTTGGCCCTGTCCAGTTGGAGCTGCTGGGCATTGCTCGTGACAGGCAAGTGTGTGCTTGACGCTGCGGCCACAACATAACAACGACGGATGCTATCAATGACAACTGAAGATAAGTAAACATCATTGACACATGGAGGAGGACAGCCGGGTATTACCCCACCCTTCCAGTGCACCCCCCCCACCCCCTGAAGAAAGGCAATGCTTTAGTGAAGAGGTGAAAACACCACAGGTTAGCCATGGAATTTCGCGTAAAGGGTGATCCAAAATTATAAGAAACAACTTGTTAATGTTCAACCTCGTATAACTTCAACATTCTTTAAGCTTTACAGTAATGGTGATGTCAATAAGCTAAAGAATAAATAATTTGCAAATTTTTATGCGGGAACTCGGTGCACTTGAGTTTTTCAACATTGATATGCATGTTCGACTATGTGCATGTACGTATTTCATAATGATATGTCATGTACATCTGCACTTTCCACACTGTCTCTATTATGTGCACGAAATGATGTCACACCATTACAAGGAACATACAAACACAGTTACTGACATACAATAACCAAGACATAACATCTAGGACTCATAAACACTGCAAAGCCTATACCTCCAACAAACAAGCCCTTTGTGAATATAGCGTCACCTCCACTTTCGAGAATACGCTACTCTTAAAATTAACCCCAAGGTCTAGTGAACTACTTCCCATAAAAGTTAAAGAAATTGTCATCCAACTGTGGTGCTGCACATCAAAGGTGTGCTGCAGTTGCAAACATGTTACGCATGTACACGTTACACTCCCAAGCACATACAAACACGAGCCTATGAAAATGCAATCCCTTCCTCCCCAAACAAGCTCTGGCTATGCTCCTGATGTGGGAGTCTCAGCTTCTATGGGGCTAGTAAACGTTATTTCCTCACACCAGCCTCCATTATACCTCAGGAAGTTTGCGATGTGCAAAAATAATTGCGATGTGTGAAGTCATAAAAAGTTGCTGTTAGGAGCATGAAAACAAAGGAAATTCAAAATGCAGTTCGAATGGTCAGTTTTCTAGTAGCCATACAACACGGCTTCACAGTGAGCAGAGCTTTACAGGTGCAAGTATACATATAAATGACCTACAGCTATGTGGATGCCGAGCAGATGACAAAGCACGGATGAATACATTCCAAAGTGTGTTCACTTTTTCTACTGGCTATTGATCGATTTTATTGATATGAGGGGTTTAACATCCCAAAACCACCATGATTATGAGAGACGCCGTAGTGGAGGGCTCCAGAAATTTCGACCACCTGGGGTCCTTTAACGTGCACCCAAATCTGAGCACACGGGCTTACAACATTTTCGCCTCCATCATAATGCAGCCGCCGCAGCCGGGATTCAATCCCGCGACCTGCGGTTCTTTCTACTGGCTAAGCAGCAACGTAGCTTTCATAGTGCTGCGTCTAGCTGGTGTGATGGAGTATAAAAGAGAACCTAAAACTTACTCAGCTTCAAAAGTTCGTCAGCACGGTTGAGATATTCATTTGCCTTGTCAGAGATGCAAGCCACTTGCGAGCCAGACAGCATTGCCGACTGCAATGCTTGAGCCGCTTCCTGTTCCGAAAATAATAGTTAAAAACAAAAGCAACATTTTGAAATAGAATACAACGACAACATAGACATGTGGATCTTATATCTGAAAAGTGCATCATGATGGTTGACAAACAGACCAATTGAAAAATCTACAGAATGAGCAGTGGCAGGGCTATCATGGATTAAATGCCAATGAATGCAAACGTTTTTGTCACCGGGAATGCATTGGACAGCCTGCAGAGATGACTGACTAACATGTAAATTCTACTGTAAACTAACCATCATAAAACAGCTTGCCATCATGCCTGAAGATCCGCGGACGAGTTCACGAACTATTTTATTCGTGAGAGCTGTTTGTCATCGACCAGGCACCTTCACTAATAATATGTCGAAGACTGGTTGTCAGCTACTCTTCTTGTAGTGGATACGGCCAACGCCGAATCGTCGCACACGGCCTAGCAGACACTCTCGTCTCTCAGATACAAACGGCATCATACCTACGCCTGTGTACAGCACCCAGCAACTGATGAGCGATTGAAGTTGTGCAGTACACGCAGATACGTGAATACATCGATAGACACATTGACAAATCAATTCTGCCTTAGTACAGTCTGATTTGGATGAATTCATTCATCCTATATATCGTAGTTACAATGCAAGGAAATCTATAAACCAACTTCAGCGCTATTTGCTGGCTTATTGATTTTTTTTATTTCATAAGTTTGATGCGTTGTGCCACAGTTCTGTGCCCACTTAGGGCATTTGTACAGAGGCGACGTTAATGCGATTTTCGATACAAGAATCGTACGCTGTTTGGACATGTCAGCCAGGACGGTATGAAAACACACCCTGTAGTAGTAGGCGGCGGGACCAGGGTTTCCCTCCAGGTCGAACTTGACAGCCCGAGATGCAAATTCCACAGCATCGTGTTCGTACTGGGCTCTGCTGGTTTCGCTCATGACGACTGACTCATGCCAGTCACTGCCGATGCACAAGATGTGCCTGCAAGGGGTGACAGCGGCGTTGCCCAAGTTCGAATTTGTCAACGATCTCTAGGTATTCATTCGATTCAAGAAATAGTGTCACACAAGCTACGAACCTCGACACTTCGACCTCAGCCACAGACAAGCAGGGCGAGCAAGCAGTAAGGCAGCTGGCCAGCTGGATTCAGTTGGCTTTGACCTGGCTGCAAACGTTTCTCAACATATTGACCATGACGTTGAAGAAGATGATGATGAGTGTATCGTTATTTATTCACAGACCGAAAGTTGTCGTAATCTGCAAGCGACAAAACACCATTGATGTTTTCAAATTAAAGTACTATTTTTTATGTTCACGGAAGCTCAGAGGGATGGGTTTTTAACCGCTGTTTTTGTGAGCGAATGTTACGATTGCGCATTGAGTGACTGATTTAGAGAAAGATTGCTTACGTCTGGCCACAAGAGCATTATATAAACGTTTTTCTCGCGTCATTCGTTCTTTCATCGTGTTTAGCTAGGGGTGGTGCGTCCGCAGAGCTAACACAGTATTGTCAAGATGGTGCAGCGGAAGGCAAGTTTTTCTTGGTATTAAAATCCGCTGACAGTGCTGAAGGAATGTTGTTTTAGCAGAATAGTTAGTGTAATTTTTTCGTGTTCTTTTTTAGATCAAAGGAAAGAAGGGCAAGAAGAAGATCGCAGCAGCCCCGCTGTCTGTGAAGAAGCCCGAACAGAAGAAAGTGACGAACCCGCTTTTTGAAAAGCGTCCTAGAAATTTCAGCATCGGTGAGTCACTTGCTAGAATGCCTGTGGCATATGGCCTATGATGCCTCGTGGAGACCACGAGTCCCCATTTGCTCGATGGTATGAGGCTAGGCCCTAGCCGGCGTCTCAGGTATGGACGAATGTTCTTTCTTACGTTAGATATGAGCATTGTCTGTACGAGTACGACTGTACTAAAATTGCATTGTATCCTTTGTCGTGTAGCTCACACGTTCTCTATTTGAACTACACGAATGGTATTGTGGCACGTCGTAGGCCTGGCGAATACATGCACGTGGCGATTCGATTCAGGCGCCTGACGAGCGTTAATTGGCTCGTATGAAAGGTTTAGTTTGAGAATGTGATACGTGGTTGATTGCGAGTAATTTTGATAGCCGTTGTTGCTTGGCAAAGATGCCGGTTGAGAAAATGGTGTCGCAGTTCCAAGTGGGCGCCCACGTGCGCGTTAGCCCTAAAACTCTTCTGGACAGCGGCAGGATGTGCTCTTTGCTCCAATCGTCATACGGGTGCACCGACTCAGTTTAAATTTAAAAGGAGCGGGACGCGTAATAATGTATTTTTTAAACTGTATTATCGCGAAGCTAATCAGCACGCAGATCCAGTGGTATCATTTGCATGAGAAATTGTTCTTCCGCAAACTTAACGCTAACGATTCGTTTTCTGTATGGCACCCACATTTCGCATGTGGTTTGAGTGTCTTGTGAAATAGGCCTACAGGTCTTAAAATCTGCATGTACGACTGCTACCTCGGCTTGTTGGTAAACTAGTAGCGTTTGGCGTGAGCCTCGTTTTAATTAATGTGTACCGCTTGCAGGCCAGGATATCCAGCCAAAGCGTGATCTGACCCGGTTCGTGAAATGGCCCAAGTATGTGCGCATTCAACGCCAGAGGGCAATCCTGTACCAGCGCATCAAGGTTCCACCTCCCATCAACCAGTTCACTCAGTGCTTGGACAGGCAAACAGGTTTGTTTACTGCTATTTTTACTTTTCAAGAGTAGTTTGCAATGATGTTTTTATGAATTTCTTCAACCAAATTATTGTTGCCGGAAAACTTGTGTCTGAGCTTGCACTCAATGTACTAGTGCCGCCTTCGCTATTGTCACTGGACTCATCGTTGCACTCAACTTTTCAGCTACCAACTTGTTCAAGCTCCTGGACAAGTACAAGCCAGAGTCAAAGGCAGCGAAGAAGCAGAGGCTGCTTCAACGGGCTGAGCAAAAGGCCAAGGGAAAGGAAGATGTCCCCACCAAGCGTCTTCCTGTGGTTCGCCAGGGTACCAACACCGTGACTTCCCTGGTTGAGCAAAAGAAAGCCCAGCTTGTAGTTATTGCTAATGATGTAGATCCCATTGAGCTGGTACTGTTTCTGCCAGCCCTGTGCCGGAAAATGGGTGTTCCTTACTGCATCGTGAAGAACAAGTCTCGACTGGGGCGTGTCGTTCGGCGCAAGACTTGTACCTGCTTGGCTCTGGCACAGACCAATCCGTGAGTGGCTTTGTCTGACGCAGTATGACTTATTCTACCGGGATGAACTCATATTATTGCCTGAATAGCATTGAAGGTTACAATATACGAGCTTTTTAACTCTGACCTAGGGTGGTGACTGATAAGAGTGGAGTAGCCACTGTTCTGTTACTTACCCATGCTCTTCTGCGCATTTGCAGTGAGGATCGCTCCAACCTCTCCAAGCTTGTGGAAGCCATCAAGACCAACTTCAACGAGCGCTATGAGGAGATCCGGAAACACTGGGGCGGTGGTGTCATGGGCAACAAGTCTGCTGCTCGTGTGGCCAAGCTTGAAAGGGCACGAGCTAAGGAGCTGGCCCAGAAGGTGGCCTAGCCATCTTACTGTGTCAAATAAAGTGGATTTGCCCTCAGAATTGCAGGTGTTCAGTTGTGGACTCCTTTATTGTTCCTACTTTCAAATATTTGAGTTGTGGATTGTCTCGAGTTCTAATATAGAAAGAAAACAGGTCAGATGTGTGCAAGGTGATCTGCACAGATGCGTCATGCATGCTGGAGGTATTGGATTAGGTTGAAACGGATTGTAGGATTTTATTGAGAACCTAACCAACAAGGGCTTTTTAATAGTTCGGAAAAGAAGCAGTGTCGTTTGTGGACTTCATAACTTTACAAAGTTTGTGGTGGAAGACGTTTACAGTGGCATTGAGTGGAATAACCATTGGGAATGTCCGGTGTATTTAGCGGGGTGGGGCTACAAGCACCCCAGCCTAGGTGACTGCCTGAGGTCCTTGGACACTGGCGGCCTCCAGAAGCATGCCGGACTGCCCACACTTGATCGGCGAGGTCGCGGTTCGAGAGTAGGGGACTGCAGCACGCTCCTGGTGCACTCCCACAGCATGAGCAGCGGCGTCGCTCTTGCTCCACACGCTTTGCAGTCGTCGGATGTCTGGGTGTGAAATATTTTCTGAAAAGCTGCTAGCTGGTGCTCTTCGTGCCGTGCCAAATGGACATGTTTTTGGAACTGCAGCCGCGTTGATTACGCCAGCTTTGACGACTTGGCCTACACCCAGTAGTAACTTGAGGCGAATCTATTTTTATTTCAACATAAGTTGAGGGCCATGCAGGCGTAATACAAAAATTGCAACATAACACAACGTACGCAGCGTGAAGATCAACGGGAATCGGAGCGCGCGTCACTGTCGGGTTATGGCAAAGACGAATGGTTAAGCCGCCGAGTGAGGGCAATCGTGGGCAGTGAATGTACAGAATCGTTAAGTTCAACCAACGGTTCGACGTGACGAAAAAATAGCAAACAAATAAAAAATATGAAGATGAGAGATTCTGCAGTGATTGTCTTTATCGGATAAATGCGTTAGGTGGAGCGGTTTGCCCACAGCAGTGAGCAATTGATCCCCCGTTGCAAAGGGGCACCACCACATCATCACCACTTTTGCACTCTGCGGCTGGTTCATATTGAATATGAAGCGCGTATGCGCGTAAAACTGTGTGTGTGTGTATGTTCTCTGGACATACATGCTGACGTACAAAAAGGAAACGCAAGCCATGTTGCTACGCACGCTAGTAGTTTTGGCGTGCCGATACTTCATATGACAAAAAAGTGGTCTGTCGGGTCCACGGTGTCGTGAACGTAGGTGAGTACCATAGAGTTTCATATAAACTCGCAGAGTACATAGGGTTCGTGAGCATGATCGTGAGACATGATCTGCTTGCTTCAGTTGAACCATTAGGAAAAACCGCTTACACGTTTCCGGAGGCACGGCCACGCGACAAAAATAGTTTGATCGAGCAGGCATTCTAGAGTTGTTGTTGTTGTTGTTGTTTCCCTGTAGAAATGGCTCGTACCCAAAGAAGGGGATTGGCCGATTTTAAGGTGAATTTGCCCTAAACTTTCAGCATTGTTAGAGTGTACTAGAACAAGGGGAGTGCCCGGACCGGCCGCAGCACCAATGCATTAAAAGTGAGGCCCAAACGGGGTCAAATCCGCTAGTGGCGCTGCGATCGGTAGTCTGTGACCTGTCGTCGTTTTAAGAGCCGTGCGCAGCTCCGCCGAAGTGGTCGAGGGGTAGAATGCTCGCATCCCACTAAAAAGACCCAGGTTCGAATCACCGCTGTGACCATAGATTTTTTTTTTAATTTCACGTGTACAACTGTATTGTTTGGCTTTTTTTTTAAATATGCCTTCAGTTTCTACATATTGCTACAAAACATTACGCGAGATATGAAGTAAAGGAGAAAAAAACTTGACAGCAAGCGCATTTATTTGCAGCGCCACCGCACGGGATTCAACGAAAACTTAAAAGCATAGCTTGCGAGATTTTAGCGAATAAAAGAGAGACGGTGTGCTTTCACTCGCCTGCGGTCGCCGCCCACTGGCTCGCTTAAAAAAAGAAAAAGAAAAACTGAAAGTAAACGATTTTCAGTCGGCGGGAAGTCGCGAAGGTTTGAATACTGGTAAAGCAGCGATGTTCTGTCTGCTCGAGTAAAGCGATCACGAGGTGTGCGGAAAGAGGTGAACGTGTTGATATTTTGGATACATATGTAGTATTCCTGTACAACTGATATTGCGAACATATATCTTATAATTATGGCCGCCCTCAGCGAAAATAAATGATGCAAACCAATGCTTGTGTTTTGCGGGCGCATCTATATGTGATCGGCGCGCTTTTTGTTGTATTTAGCTTTTGCGTCATTGGCGCCTGCATCGTTTTCAACTCTCTCAGCGGCAGCTAAACGGCAAAACTAAAGCGCGCCGGTTGCCTGTGCTTTTGATGAAGTAGTATTGAAATACAAATGTACTTTTCTTGTACAACTATTTTTGTCAACGTATACATTTTGTCTTTTGAAAGCATATTTAGTGGTGCACACTTTGTGCATACGGCCGATGGTCACTAGCGTTTATTGTAGGGATGGGGTGGCACGGAACAGTGCTTAAGACGCGTGACACAAGGTAAGAATGACAGATACGTCATGACCATTCCAGTAGTGTACCAACCAGGCCTGCCCATTACAGTTGTAAAGGAATCGGTTTTGATGTCAATGGCACAGTGGTGATTGATGTGCACGAGGCTGCTGACCCGCAGATAAGGATCGCATCCCGATCTCGACAGTTGCATTTCGATGGCGTGGAAATGATAGAGGCCTGCGTTCTTAGATGTAGGCGCTAAGAACCACAGGTGGTCGTAATTGGGAGAGTGCTACACTGAATACGGCGAGCCTCACGCGGTATATAGTTTTATCACGCAAAACCATTGTCGTCGTCGTCGTTGTTGTTTTGTTTTGTTGAAAGTGCGTTGGTTCTATTCAGACGTGATGCCAAAAATGTAGACATGAAATGATCCGCGGTTGCATGGTAGCTACGGGAGTTTTCGCAGTCAGGCTTAAATGTGAGGTCTCCTAATCCTAAGTATAGCGTGCTATGCCGAAGGCAAGCAAGTGGTCGTGGTTTGTTTTGTCTTGTTAGTGACGTACATAAAAAACACGCTAGCACATAGTACAAAATCATTCGTTGAACGCGTATCCGCATAAGTTGTGTTCAACTGGCGAAGAAGTCATAGGTGTACAGCAAACAATGAATGAAATTTCTCTGTATTTGCGTTGAGATTTCGAAAGGAGACGACTTGCATACGCAATTGCACGGTCGTTGCCCCGCTGAGTTTGCGCCAAAACTGCACCAATGCCGTGACTACACGTGTCTGTGCGCGCTTCTGTAGGAGCATCGGGGTCGAAATGCGCAAGAATAGGGTTGTCGTGAGAGTGGTAATTAGTTGAGAGAAGGCGTCAGTTTGAAGAGGGCCCCAATGAAATGGGGCATCTTGTTTGAGAAGGTCGGTAAGTGGCCGTGCGAGTGCCGCAAAGTTTTCACGAACCGCCGAAAGTAGGAGCAGAGGCCCACGAAACTGAGAACATCATGGACAGAGCGGAATATTATAGAATGGTAGAAAGGCGTTCAAGGTGTGTGGCGAAGGTGGGTGAGAAGTTATCACGTCATCCAAGTAGCACAAGCACGTCGCCCATTTAAATCCTTGAAGTAGCGTATCTGTCATTCTCTCGAAGGTTGCCGGGGCATTGCAGAGGCCAAACGGCATGACCTTGAATTGGTAAATGCCGTCAGGGGGTAACGAATGCAGTTGTCTCACGATCCATTTCGTCTACAGCAATTTGCCAGTAGCCAGATCGGAGGTCGGGAGATGAAAAGAAGGTGGCGCCATGCAGACAGTCAAGTGCGTCGTCAATACGGAGAAGAGGGTACACGTTTTTTTTTTCGTAATTTTTTTGAGGTGCCGATAACTAGCGCAGAAACGCCAGGAGCCGCTTTTCTTCTTTACCAAGACCACTGGGAAGGCCCAAGGGCTCGACGATGGCTCGATGGTGTCTTTCGTTGGCATTTTGGCCACTTCCTTTTGAATCACTGCTCGTTCTGATGCGGACACGCGGCAAGGCCGACAGTGGATAAGCGCAGAGTCACCATTGTTAATTAGGTGCTTGACAATATTAGTCTGGCCCAAGGGATGACCACGGATACCAAAAATGTCACCGTGATCGAGTCCGAAACCTGACAGAGAGCATCGGCCTGATCAGGCGAAAGGTCTGATCCAATCATACTTCGAAAATGGCTTCGTCAGAACTGGGTAACCGTGAGACGTCTACCGATTCGGTAGACGCCTATACCCGAGTAGCCGACTGATTTAGTGCAGTCGTCTGCCGTGCAGCAGTGTCGCCGAAAAGGTCACGGATCGTCTCCTTGAAAGTGTCCCAGCTGGCAATGTCGACTTCGTGCGTCTCGAACCACAACAAACGCAGTAAATGTCACACTATATATTCTACGTAGAGGAAATTTGGTTTAGCCTTGTGAGCTTGACATTTCAGTAACGTGTTCGAATAACCTACAGGAACCACATCTGCAGTGGGCCATCAAGGTAAAGAAACACGTTGGCGAGCATGAGTGTCGGGCCCACCTATAGCCGGCGCTGATCTGTTCGTACACGTTAAGGCACTTGTCAACGTCAAAGCGTGCCCCGCCATGGTGGTCCAGTAGCTAAAGTACTCGGCTGCTGACCCACAGGTCGCGAGATCGAATCCCGGCTGCTGCGGCTGCATTTCCCATGCGGTCTGAAATGATGTAGGCCCGTGTGCTAAGATTTGGGTGCACGTTAAAGGACCCCAGGTGGTCGAAATTTCCGGAGCCCTCCACTACGGCGTCTCTCATAATCATATCGTGGTTTTGGGACGTTAAACCCCCCATATATATCTAACGTCAAAGCGATCTATATATCCTGGAAATATGCCAGGATCACGAGCAGGAGGTATACGACAACGTAGGTAGGAGTCACAGAAGAGGCGGGTGGTGAAGACGATGTTCCTTGAACCTGTGACATGGTTGGACCCGTGATGATAC